TGCTCGTCCGCGACCGCTTATTCGGTAGGCCGAAGCCCACCTTATTCACGGTTAGCCGCGGGATGGCGGCCGTTTTCTTTTGTTTTGCAATTGGTTTCATCTATCCACTGTAAAAATCGTAAATTGCTAAAAATTCACCTTTTGGGTGCATAGAGCTAACTTGACTTGTCTTAACTATGTAGCCAGTCGAAGTAGCACCAAAAACGAGCTTGCTGTATAAATTTTGTGCACAGGATTACTCATTGATGTGTAACATACCGAAAAAATCCATCATTTCCTGAGATAAGCATTCTCTATCGGACGCTGATCAATGGGGAGGACCTAAGAACTTTGCTAGGAAAATATTTTCGTGTCTAACTTTAGTTTAAAGGTAGATAAGACGGAGTCAGTGTCTTTTCAACGAACAACTACAATATGCTCGGTGTAGGGCTGATCAGTTATACTGATAAGAAGCAGCACGCGCGCTGCGTACTGAGAGAAGGATAAACAATCGGAAGCCCATGACACCCTATATCCGAATCTCCCAAGAGTTTGTATTTCCTGTCCAATAACTAGCGTTTTGTTTACACGTTTATTCCGTTCCATGAGATAATGGAGACATACATATTTCTTTCTCAGCTGTCCGGATGCTTACCTGCCAAATTTGACCGCGTGTATATGTTCCGTCGAGCAAGCGAAAGAATACAACTCCTGGGGCTATACTCGTCTCAATATCGTCGCATCAGAGGTAATATGATCTTAACGTATCGGATTTTCCAACATCCCAACCATCCATGTAGATCTATTTCGATCTATCAACCAATGTTCATCTCAGAGGGCATTCAATGAAGTCGGCACTCCAAAAGATCCGTCTCGACTGCAGGCGCCATTCGTTTGCAGTCAGTGTGCAGCACATGAAACTCTTTACCACCTCACGTGTTCCGTGTGTCAACATTGGTATCTTTCAAGTGTCAGCTTGATGATGCTCTGGCAAACATAATGTCTCAACACCCAACTACATAATATATTCTCCTGTGCTCTTCACATTAAACATTAAATTACTATTTTACTTTCATGGACTAACTGTGATCTTGTGAATCGTGTTCCGAACCAAAATGTAAACACCTTATGGGATTTGATAGGCGAAGTCTTTGTAAGTTTCTTCTCATAATATAAATTGCAATTTGAATTTGCTTATCTCAATTCGACCGTATCTTTTTGGACGAAGGTTTCAATAAGTTCGAGACCTTTTGGAAAATATAAAAAAGTAGACAGTCGCTTGGTTGAAACTTCACTCTATCATGGTTCCAAACGTTAACTGGTGAGTTTTCGTTTTGACCCTGTTATCAACTTCACCCAGACGGGAAGCGCTTTTGAATGCGCATATTTTATCTGCGTCATTATTTTTAAAGGTGGCTTTCTATTTCATTTATTTTTAGCGAATCCGGTCACCACCAGCAATGAAGCCGTATGAACTCAGATATCCCCGATGGAGTAAAAATAAACACGCTTCGTCTTTTCTTATTGCATTCGATACCTTACATCTTAGTTGATATTATTTCGAACATCCAACGGCACACAATACCTCTGTCGAAAATTACAACGGAGTGATTCCAAACGTGGTCATAGGCGTTCGGGCTCCGAGTGATTCAAACTGCTTCCCAACATCAGAGCAGGACAGACAGACGGTCATTTTGTGACCGGTTTCTTTGTCTTCACTGTCGCTCGCCTGTGGGTCGAGAAACCACTACAATCGTTTTCATACTCATTGCAAAATAGAAACAACTAGTGTTTGCGGGGCCCATATCCTCTAAACTTTGGAGGCATAGGAAGCTGAAATGAGTAACAAGACTACATGAAATAATTGGTCTCGAAAGAATCATGGATGACGTTAACAGGATACTGCGTCATCAATCCTATCATGCTTTCCGTACAGATTCCATACAGAGAATCCTTTTCTTCATCTTATTTTTTTACTTTTAGACTATACAGTGCAACTGTGTGGTTAATCGTTTTCTCAAACCTCATGTCTTACTAGCGGATGCTGAACGGAGAGGAATGTCTTGTATATCCAAAATGAAGTGTCAAATTGTTACATGATACCGTCATTTTATAGTCGCAATTCGAACATAAATTCCCAGCTACTACTCAATAACAGCAATATGTTATCGGTATTGTGAACGAAGGGCTTGCTTCAATAGCCTGAAGTGCACTATATTCGATACTATTTTGACGACCGTAGTGGTCAAAGTTTTATATTCGCGATTCCTTAACAACTCTGATTTATATTAAATCAGAATTGTTAAGGCACCGCGCTGGAAATTATAGCCATGCATGAAACTTATTCTGGCTTGAAGTAATTTTAGGCATGTTGACTGCGGTGTTGAGGTTCGATCTCAGGACCACCGGGTCAATCTGATGGAGATCCCTTCTATTTAGTCCCAAGGCATGTCGCCGGAAGCTTGATCAGCTTAGACAGGGAAACAAATTATTTTGGTGGGAAAGTATTTCGATGATGCCAAGGAAAGTGCAGTTAGACAGTGACGGCAGGACCTATCGTCAACGATACCAGTGAATGTAAATCGCAAACCTATTAAATCCACTCCGTTCTGCTCAAGTAATTGGTACTGGAATCCTCATCCCTGTTCATTATTTCACCGAGAAACCAACCGCACTCAGTCAAAACACTACAACACTACAACACTTTGGAATTTTTAAATTTAGTTATGATAATTCTTGGTCAATCCAAAGACGAAATATTAGAAAAAAGAGTGTAGTCCCATGAGTGTGTCTGTGCAGATCACACCCAAAAAAGACAAGGTAAATGGGTTTCTATGTCGACAAATAAAATGTAGCCTATGGCAGATACAGTTGCATTGAAGTATTCATTGTGATTTGTATACCGATTATTTTTATTTTTATTAATGAAATACGGATATGGTACTACTCTAGCTACCTAATCGAACTGCGTGTGTTTGGTCTCAGTATCTGGGGGAACGAAGAAAGTAAACGGTTTTCCATTCTTTGTTCGATATGTGAAAACAAAGTTTGCACTCCTATTGCAATTGAATCTGTGCGCTTTTCGACTTCGACTAACGAATTCGAGACAAATTAGTGTGGCGATAATTTTACGAAACCTCATTTTAAATCACGTAATTTAAAGATGAAATGACAGTAGTTGCCCAATAAAATAATCGCAGTTCTTGACAACTGGTTCATACTTTAATTTGACTATCCTCTCTGATTACCAATGTGATGAACTTGCAAAATTTGATTACGTTTTTTCGTGTGTAGACAAAGTGTACGAACCGGATCATCTGTTGCCTCTTGGCAGGGTGGGTATTAATGCCTGCATTCTATCTGTGAGTGCCCGAGCACGCAAACGTCCATTAAGTTAGTAAATTCCTAGTGCAGATAAGACCCACAAGCGTGGTGGTAGCTTCTTAGGTTTCAGTTCAAGCACTTGCAGATAGGTGATTTATCATAAAACTCATCACAATGTTAAGTAATAACTTATGGTCATGTTAATAATTTTTCCATCCTGAAGGATTACTGAATCAGATGTGATTTAATGAGGGTTCTCAAGTGTAGGAACTAGAGCATTCAACGTTATCCAAACACGGTTCATTGTATCATACAGGGCCGAGAAACATATCCCGCAGCCTCAATCGATGAGTGTTATTATTTCCCTGATCCTATGAGATTCATTGACGGTGACCGCAAAAACCAGACGCTAATCCAGCCGTGTTTCTGAAAAGCATTCATTGCTGTGACTATGATATGATATATTTTGCCTTTCTTGGCCCCCTGATAAGGAATTGGTAAAATAAGTAAATATTTTGGTTAAAAATCATGATATAACCGATATGCAGTGATCTATTCGTAAATGGTTATATTTATTCCATTTTAACAGATCTGTTGTGTGTGGGTTTTGTGTGATATGCTTTTCGGGAAAGATCACACAGTAAATTGTAGGGAGTGGATGGGTTAGATCAGGTGGGGTTGGATTGGGAGTGGGAGATAACACTTGACAAGAAATATGCACAATCCACTGTGTTCCCGACCAGATTAAACAGACTGATGACATAACAATACGCAGCAAAAGCAATGAGAATGAGTCTAGTTCGCAGGTTACGACGAGACGGGTGAATACACAGTGTTCAATGCTCCATCTGAGACAAATTTTCGTTCGGGAAGATTGTTCCTGGTCCCACAGCCCACAGAACCCTCCTTTACTGAAGGCCGGGCTTGCTTCTTGGAGAGTAACCCCTGCAATCAGAATGGGAACAATAGAGATCTTTTATTGCACTTGTGTTCAACAATGAACTGGAAAAGAATAGGATACTTTACTCAAGGGATTTCCACAGATACTGTATGATACGGTATATAGTTGAATAAAACTGAGGTATCCAAACGATGTGTGAGTGTATATGTCATCCACGTGTCACATAACAAGCAAGATAACTAATTAAAAGATAGCTAATGATAGTAGTTTCACTAAGCTTTGTTTCAGACGCCTGCGAAGGAATCAACTGGTGTAACAAAGGGACATTCTCAAAGTGAAAGTATTTGTGCATAGAGTGAACGATACGTAACATAGCTTCTTCAGTGTAGTAGTCTAATTCTTCTTGACGTTTGAGTTTTTTGTAGTCCTTTGTTCTATCAAAATACGGATCAGTCCACCAGTGCTTTGTACGCTCCCAGGATGCACCATCACTCAGAACCATCTCCCATAGTAGAACGGCAATAACTGAACCGCATATAGGTGCGACGATATAGATCTGTGAAAACGAGAAAAAAGTTGATAAAACGAGGCGAATGTGAGCATTTAAAACGTGGTCATGCAGAGAATATTGATTATCCTGCTAAATAAAAAAGGTATCAGTCGAATATAAATGTGAATATCTCATTTCTAACAACAGAAGCTTATCTGAGATGTTAATCACCTAATTTGCTCTTAATGCTCTCACACACCGTAATCCAGTTGATAATTATTAATACAAGATAATTTTCGACCAAAAAATATTCTATTTTTAAGAAAATCGTTTGCTAAATATTATTTTACAGTGGTTTATGCTTCCTCACCGGGCGGTAATCATTCAAAATGTAAGAAGCATTTTTAAATATTTTCATCTAGTTTATTTCTCCAGTAACGTACCCATATTTTTCCAAAATTGTGATTGTATATAGCCCCGGCCAAACTTGCAGAAGGATTCATTCCAACACCCGTTGTCTCGGCCTGTAAAGAATATGGTAAGAGGGAAAATAAATTTAGCTGTCAAATAACTTGCAAAACTAATCATTTCTAAAGCAATTTCAAGAAGCATTGTTTCCACAGTAAGATCCATTTGTTTTGTTTTTTAAATTCATTTATCAATGTTTTACTTCAATGTTCATGCTCATCCAGAGACACAATCAATGGCATATTGTTTCATTGGTAGTCTATGAAATGTCTCAAATTTTGGATTTTCTACTTGTGAAGAAATGCGTCTACAGACCGAAAACAAGTATGTTCCGCCAAACATGGAAGACTTTCACTGAAAATGGTCAGAATCCATTCCATTTCAATTATATTTGTTAACTAAGTTCAGTCTGACGCAAATCAGAAGCGATCTGTCTTACATCCGATTTGGAAATGAAACGATAGTTTNAAATTGAGATTAATCTAATATACATGTAAAATAGCGGGAACAATCCTATTACCAATTCAGTTATCCTGGTAGCTGCACTTACCAAAACAGAAGCCAAGAACAAAATCAAGAGGTAAACGATGAGGGAGAACACGGTTATATGCCCTTCAATCCAATGTGGCTTTCGGAATTCATCTATTGTGCTCAAGCAACAAATGATCAGGAAGAAACTGCATATACATTCCAATCCGAACACCTGTCCGTCGGATAAACCAGCTCCAGGCCAATGCAAAAGCAAGTTGTTTTTCTCCGAGAGACCGGGCACCATTTGTGATCCCAGCGCTACACCAATTAGGGCACCGCAGATTTGGCCCGCTATGCCGAGTATGCAGTAGACAAAATTGATTCGCCTTGTCATGAGTAATGCCACAGAGAGAATCGGTGTGATTTGAGGTCCGGTAACCGGTCCGATAGTCCACACGGCGACGGCAAATGCGGCAGCAGCTGTGACTGGTCCATTAACTGGGCTCGTCAGGGCGCCCGATGCGGAATGACATGTGATTATGAATATAATCATTCCCAGTCCAAGTACTTCGGTCAAAAAGAAGCGAATCATGAATCGCACATGATAGAAATCACAACGAGGTAAGGTAGCTGGTGTGGCCTTGTATTCTTCTTCCTCTGCCATGGTTTTACTTTTCGTAATCTGTACGGAAGAGCCTCTGATGGGGCGTTTTCTATAACAAAAAGAATGAATTTTGCTTGAATCGTTTCATTAGTTCAACAGAACACACTGAGAACAACAATGTGGCAAACAAACTCGATTTCAGTTATTCCTAATCATACCATTATATAACATTAAATATGGCTAACAATAAGAACATCGGAAGGAATGATAGGTTCCAGTCCTAATGATCCAGCTGTGGCTCCGATCATGCGTGCGTGTTTGTGTGAAATTGATCACAGTGTCAAATGTTCAAGTGATTGCACACGTGTTTAGTGGCTGAGGTGGGCCAGGGGAGATTAAGTGCTTGCCCAAATTTCTTCTGGGCAGACAAGGGTGTGTGTGTGAATCCGAATGCTTACGGTTTCGGCCGCGGCTAAGATACGATGGGTCGCCACCCAAGTGGGCCAAGTGGTTAGGTCACCAACTAGAGACCTGGGTGTCCCGGGTTCAAACCGCTCTACCGCCGCCCGTCTTCCCTGTATCTGTATTTTCCCGAGGTAGCCTTTGTATGGCCGCAGGCCTGAAAGTTGACTTTACATCTGTACGTTCAATAAATAAGAAAAGGAAGCGAAAAGACATTATTATTGTCATCAAAATGCTTCACTGATCTTCATTGCCTGCATCGAATCTTGTATATCGGTCTGTACGACTTTGCCACATCTACCGAGTGATTCAATTTAACGAGATGCAAACACACCGCTCTTGTAATTGTAATCGTTCTAATTGTTCTAATTGTCCCAGTCCTCAGTCAAGTCGGGTGGTGTTCGCGAACG